TTTATGGATGACACCAAGGACAAATCCTAATCAAACAACCGTTGAAAATTAGAAGGCACAGGACATTTGTTCTGTTTCAGTATAAGACTCTTAAACAGTGAGCTATCCCGATCCCATTGAGGATCGAACCTTGGTCAATATTCATTGCTACGGAAAGGTGGTCGCATAACATCACCAACACACAAACCGTTGGATACTAGCTCACTTCAACATTTGAATATCCTGATTTTGATTTTCTACAGGATCGCAGATTCTCACTCACTACTGAAGAGTATCATACTTGGAAGAAACAGATGTCTAGTGATTTTAGATATTTGGTAATTGTTTAACTAATATCAGCGCTTATTGCTCATTATAAACAGAATATTGACGGATTGCGAATAATTTAATCGCACACTAATTCAATGTTAGAAGCTGTGTAATCAGTCAGAATTTTCAATACAAATGTCAGCACAGTTCTACTGCAAGGGTCAGAAACTTGAAGAACCACGAAGGCCATCATCCGAAATATACAAGTGTTTATTAACAGTTATTTACACAAACTACTTCGGATCCGCTGACCAGACACCACCAGCATCAACCTACTGTGGAGGAGATCAAACTAGATTCCAGTCGGGGAAGAAATCAGGAAGAAGCGCATTTCAGCAATCACCCAACTGTGTCACAAGGAAAGGCTTCACTTGAAATCCTCAAGGCCAAAGGAAAATAAGAAGACGAAAAATCACATCACGCCGAAAAATGGAGACAAACATGAAAAGAATGAACAACAACAGAACAGAACCAGGAAGGAAGACCCAGGACAGAGTAGGTTGGGGAATGCCGGTCTGTGGCCTACACTCCATAAGGGTGTAACAGACGTAAGTAAGTAAACTCTCTGAATAACTCTTTTCAAGTTTTCTACTATCTAAATATTTGACCAATCATTTCACAAGAAATTTCATATACCTCTTCAGCTGATCGATTGGGAGGTATAATTTTAAGTAGAACTAAGTTAAATTACCTGTAAAAATTATATTTTCGTCACTGAATTCATTACTACTACCATTTCTTTCACTGCGAAACATTTAGCATGAACTTTCACCATGTTTCTAAACTCCTACACAATTTACATAATCATATAAATGATAATTTTACAGTTTCTATTGAACTAAGAAATTTTAATAATAAATGTTACTGTTTGTAGTCGTACTACTAAAACACGTACTCTGATTGGCTGGTAGTGAAACAAATTCTCTAAGTGTTTACTCATCATCAGTTTCTAACATACTGAAACATTAAAATTCCGCGATCGATGGTAGAGTTGTCTTAACAGTGAGCTTGTTAGAATAATTAGACCAAGATTATAAATCCCTTGTTTCAATGGTAAGTACACAATCATGATGTTGTATTTGGTTGAATAGAACAAGTCGACATGCAAAAACAATGTTTTAGTTCATTACAAGTAGTAAGTATATCAGTGGTATATCCATTGTAAAATATTACATCACAAACTATACTGCTTTGGTTTTGTTTGTTCAAGGTTAACACAAAATGCACCTACGTAAAATTAACTCTCAATACCCTATTCATCACGACTACATTAATCTTGCGGTAAATCTCAGTGATGTTTACACTTTAGTATAGATGAGAAAAAGCTGCTCGGATTTTTAACTTCGTGAAGGAAAAAGATTAGGATGTTGATTTGTAATTTTAATAATATTTCCCTAAAGCAAAATTCTCCGATGCAACACAACAGGCACCAACCAAATCACTCTTGATGGAGATGCCTTGGAGGACGTTAACACCTTTACATATCTGGGCAGCATCATTGACAATCAAGGTGGATCCGATGCAGATGTGGGGGCACGGATTGGCAAAGCAAGGACTGCATTTATACAAATGAACAACATCTGGAACTCCAGACAACTTTCAACCAAAACCAAAATCACGATTTTCAATACAAATGTGAAGACAGTTCTACTGTATGGAACGGAAACTTGGAGAACTACGAAAGGCATCATCCAGAAGATACGTGTATTTATAAACAGTTATCTACACAAAATACTTCGGATTCGTTGGCCAGACACCATCAGCAACAACCGACTGTGTGAGAAAACAAACCACATTCCAGTGGAAGAGGAAGTCAGGAAGAAGCGGTGGGAGTGGATAGGACACACATTACGAAAAGCACCTAACTGCATCACAATACAAGTCCTCACATGGAACCCTCAAGGCAAAAGGAAAAGAGGAAGGCTGAGGAACACATTACGCCGAGAAATAGAGAAAGTTATGAGAAGAATGAACAAAAATCGGAAAGAACTGGAAAGCGATGCCCAGGACAGAGTTGAATGGAGAAAACTGGTGGGCGGCCTATGTTCCATTGGGGGTAACAGGAGTAATGAAGTAAATGAATCGTCTTAAACAGATTGTTCAGCATTATACATACATACATACATAAAAAGGTAGTTAAACGTTTTAGCTTTCAAACAAACTCGAAGATATTGTTTGGATGCAATGATAGTCTTTTTCAAAGAACCCACTAAATACGAAACATCAGATTAGAGCAGTTGTTTTTTTTCGGATGGTAAGAAGTCTAAATAATCAAAAATTCTTTTCAAATTTGAACTTTGAAATATCAATTACGATATTTCTTAACTCAGTCTTCTAAGCTGAATTAGGTTTCACTATACAACCGGGAGATAACAGATGAATCGTTATGAAAGCCTAAATTTGGTTATATTCGGCGAAATATAAAAGTATATCATGAGCATCATTCTCATAACTTTTCGTTTGTAAGATCAATATTTTTTTCCCACTTGAATGAATGCAAAAGTTACCATTTCAAATTCCATATAACACAAACCATTATTACAACACAATGATATGAAATTTATATTGAATTTGTTGGGGATGTTAGATCCCCAGAACTCGCAAGATAAATGCTTTATTTTGGTTTTCACGTTTGCCAGCATGGGCTGATCAGTTGACTTTGTGATTTTATATTTCCCACCAGGAAAATCCATGGCTGTGATTGACTGCTGTGTATTTTAGTGTGCTATTTTCTTAACTGTCCTAAGGACTTTCTATGATGTATAAATTAACGAGAGTTGTGTGCTTGATTGTATTGTGCTTTCTGGGTGTTTGTAGAATATTCTTTCTACGCTTATCAAGACTTCCGTTTTACCGTTTTCGGATCAAGGTAGCCTACCTGGACGCTGATTAATTATCGACTAAGGTGAACCCGTAATAGCTTCAAGCGTTCCTAGTGGCGAACCTAACAGAATCATTATTCAATAAAAAGTTTATTGTATTACGTGCTTTATAACAAGATCTAAAATCTTCTGAAATTAAACGAAAATGTCAAAGATACATGCTGGATTAACTTTTCTGTTGCATCCGAAACCTAAATGTAGATTATGCCAATGCACAAGATTTACTCAGGTAAATAATAAAGGTTATTTATTCTTACGCATGCACGTCAACACGTCATTTGATATGCTTGAACTATTACGAATTTACCTTAGTCAGTAAACGAGAGCGGGGATTGAGGATCCGGCGACACGATAGGCTACTCGAATCCGAACGTCCCGAAACCCCCCACTGAGTAAAGAAGAGATGATATGAAGTAGAACGTGTACTCCACAAGCATCCAGAAAGTACGAGGTCCGAGTCCAAGAGAATCAGGATCCCGGACTAGTTATGCGGGTCTGGGTCCGTGTTCGGGTAATAAAACGTTATAGATAATGCTTATTTATACATCTAGGTCCAATAGGAAACAACATTTGAAGTGACTTTAATAGCTAGGTCGACCACAGTATTGACCAGTCGGAATTGACCAACAGAATTAGACTTATAAAAATAATTCTCTTAGAATATTTGATGAATATCCTAACAGTCAGTCAAGTCAGTCAGTTACAACGTAGAACTTCGTAAGTACGTACGTACATCAGTTCATGTTGCCATACCACATTAGCACACACAGAGATGCAATTGTCAATTCAAATCCCATTGTAGTAAATATAGTAGAAGTACTAGCAGTAATCAAAAAGATTAATGATCGTAGATATCTTTCAACATGTATACCCCCGAGCAATGGATTAAAAAAATAACGGTCATGAGTAATTCAGAAGATCAGGATTTGTGCGAAGCCAAAGAATGGATTCAACTGAGCCACTGCAAACGCTTTTTGAGCGATTTCACTCAAGATCTCTAATCAAAGATTACTAGCTACTAACACCAAGAAATAGCTTCTATATGGAAGTTTTACATTTCTCAATATGTTGTCAATCAAAATTACTGTTTAGATTCAAGCTTATGGTCAAAAAGTGAACGGGCCACACAGTAATATTCATACGAGAAAAATAAAGTTGACGCGTTCCTTTGAAATCAAATCTATGATCAATTGGTGTTGAAGTTCACATTTATGGAGTTGAACAAAATGTAAACTTAAGGACTTTATTATTTTTTTCGTGATGCTATTGAATATCTTACAACGTATTGGACATTTAACACTGATGTACCGCATAAAAGAAACCTTAGTTTTTATCATTACATAATCAACTATGATCTAAGAAGTGAATGATGTTATTAAAGAATTTCTAACTTCATAAACCAAGATAAGTGAATATTATCTCAACAAAGTGCTAACTTCATTTATCGAATTTAGCTTGTCGACAACCACTACTGGAAATCAAAAACCATTAAACAAGTGTTTCATCCTAACATGTGATTCTCTATCAACATCCTACTATGACTTTTAAATAAAGGCATTCAAGTCTCATACGTCGAACCACTAATCCCAATTCTAATGGTTTACACTCCGAATTTCATTGTAAAAGGTTTCTATTCACTGTAAGTAGAACAGTAAATATATGATTGATTTGGTTTGAATTTTTGTGATCAAGTTATCATAATAAGTGTAGATCATTATTACTTTTAGGTAAGATGATCAAAAAAAGGCATAGTTTTAATTTGTTTGTTTTTTCCGCCTAATTACAGCATCGTTTACAACAAAAATTCTCTATAAATACAATTAATTTATTTTAAAAGTTTTTAGCTTTAATAAAATTGACAGTATACATATACATATTTATAAATATAGACACGTTTGAATGTGACAGTTCTCAAAAATAACAATTCAATCCAGTATTGGCATACTGAATACATAAAATATTCAACTTGACGATTCTTCTAAATTCCGTTTAAATCGAAAATATAAATGATGATCTTCCATTGGTTTGATCTCTTTCACAGACTAAAGAAAATAAGAATAACGATAAAGGAACATATATATATTTTTTGCAAGGAAGATAAAATACGAGTACACTGTAACTGTGTACTGACCGAATCAATGAGAATACACTTTAATTAAGTGTAATTGTTGGACACTTAAATTTTTCCTTCTATGCATTAAACATTCAGTGCTGTAGTATACGGGAAATTTGTAATTTTGTTCTATTCACAAAACTTAATAAGCCGGAAATTTCAATTAAAATATAATGAAATTAAGAATCACAGATATTTTTAATTTCTGTCTATCATCCACAGAAACTGTTTAACGTAAACTGAAGAAACACGATCGGTTATAAATCACTCGAGGAATTTGTACATTGATTTAATCTGCTAATTACTTAATTAAAATTAAAACAATGAATTTCAGCCAGTCAGTTAAAACGTTGAACTTTGTACATACGTACGTACGTACATCAGTTTAAGTTGCCATTGCACATTAGAAGATAGACGCAATAGTCGATTCAAATCCCAAAGTGGTGGATGTAGCAGAAGTATTAGTGGTCATGGGGAAGATAATTTTTGAGAATTATAAACTAGTGAAATAAATTAAAGAGAGAAAAATCGGTAATGAAGAATCCAAAAGATTACATTTTGAGAGAAGACCATGAATGGATATATCTGCGATATTGCAAAGGTCTATAACCATCAGCTACTTATATTATCTCGTGGACTACAACCTGGTAGTCAACACCTGCCAACACGGCTCAATTCATTTGTCAGTGACTTTATGGATTTGTGCCATGTTTTGGTTTGGCCGCCCCTAGCTTTCTTCCAGCGTATCCCTAATCATCAAGATAGTCCGTGGTTGAGCATAAGTAATACGTGTCTCAACCATCTCAACTAATGAAGTTTCGCTACCTCATCTATTGATCTGACATCTTCACCTAGTAGTCGTTTCCCAACAACAGTACTGCTTCCCCGATTGTCCCAGGATGTACGAGCAACGATACGAAGACACCTATTATTGAATCCCAGTAACCTATGAATATTCTTTACTCATGTTTCACAGCCATAAAGCAGAACGGAGCGAACTGCCGCTCAGTGGACTCGTTCTTTGATTAGCTTGCCTTTCCATTTTATCTGTCCTATGGTCGATTTTGCCTTAAATTACAGCCTTCTCATACTAACTTTGATATTCTTCCTTCCAACGAAAAATTCCTCCACACAATCTTAATCAATTATCAAACTCACTAATCAGGTAATCTTTTCAAACACAGTAAAACAAATCCCTGTCCTTGTAAAAAATTGATTTGACATCGACGTCAGACTTTTACGCCAAATTAGATGATGAGTTGTGCCAGTGAAAATTGAATGCAAATGTAAACAACTATTCCTAATTTATTTGTTTAAACTAACTCAGATAGAAAAATATGTGTGTTAACAAAATCGATGAAATGAACAATTCACGAACTATGGGTTGTCCACATTTGTACTCTTCATTTACCACAATGACTATGCAAAATAGCATTTGATCTCTCTCAAGTGTTGTCTATCAATTAACAAAATTCTTATCAGCAAATAAAAAGAAACTAAAATTTGTTCAGTTTCGCACTTCTAACGAAGATGTGGTATTTTGATGAACAACCAGTTGAACACTAAGTTATACGATGCATCACCATTTACAAAGTACAGTGATGATGCTGTGATTGTTGTCTATTATACAACAATGTAAAAAGTGTCAAGACACTCAAGTGAACTGCATTTGTTTTTTTCTCCAGGGAAAAATACAAAAAAACTAAACATGTCTAATTTGAATTCTGTAATGAACAAACTACTAAAGGATGTTTTCAGTTAGAGCTTGGGAGATTTGTGTTTTTACACATTTGAAATCATCAATCTCCAAAGCTATAACTGAAAATATCGTAACATGTGCTCACTAGTGACTAGCATCTTCGTGAGCAAATTCTCGGAGTTCTAGTTGAGAAGACGTGACCAGTGGAGTTCAGCGTTGTCGGGTATAGGCAGTAACTACCAAAGACAAATGGGTGAGGTCGCGCAAAATCCCTAGATCAATCAGAGTTAGACATTAACACCGTACTGATGCCAGCCCAGTGGTTCGATGGTTAGGCGTTCGCGCACAATACCGAAGGTTCCGGATTCGAATCCTGCGCGCTGCAGGAATCGTGGATGCTCACTGCCACTGATGAGTGCCATACCAGAACAAAACGGACGTCCAGTGCTTCCAGGTTTCTAATGGTGGTATAACAATGATTGGTTGATGATTTCAAATGTGTACTTCTATTTCATCATCGTAATGTTCAACGTTTACTTGAACATATTATCAATTTAAGAATTTTAAAGATTCCCATTGTGAAAATTAGAACAACACAGATATAAGCGAACAATATTGTTTTCGATTAGATCGTCATCAGGCTTTACGCTAATATACACGAATATTTATATGAAAATGTTAAACCAATCAAGGCAATTTGAGTGATAATCACAATGAAATGAAAAAGATTACGTAACTACATCTAATAGTTACGTAATCTTTTTCATTTCATTGTGATTATCACTCAAATTGCCTTGATTGGTTTAACATTTTCATATAAATATTCATGTATATTAGAGTAAAGCCTGATGACGATCTAATCGAAAACAATATTATCAATTGAAAAATCAGTTTAATGAACAGGTTATGATTTTTTCAGACTATGGAATATCTTAAACAAATACTAGTTTTTTTTAGTTGAATAAATATTCACAAACATTTCTATCATCAACTTGTCCCTAAACAAATTCGTAATAAAATGATAAGTTGTTGCAAGTAATGAAGTTTAACAGTTAGACACAGTATACAACTTGAACTCACCGTGAAACCAAGATCAAGAGCCATTTGTTTCACATTTTCACAATAGGCTTTAACTTGTTCTTCCCGAACCTCAACTATGTACCTTTAAATGTATAAGAGAGATATCATAAAATCAAGTAATTGATGAAATTCTCTAATCGGAAATAAACAGTAATTTTAGATAAATATCAGTTTATAATCCTTTCATGTAATTTACAGTAGTACTTAAAAATTACTGAAATGATTAATTCTCAATTAGAATTATGGAGATTAGTGTTTTTACACATTTGAAATCATCAGTCAATCATTGTTAGACCACAATTAGAAACCTACAAGTACTGGAGGGCCGTTCGGTCCTGGATGCCGGCCCAGTGGTCCAGATGTTAGGCGTTCGTCAGTAAGGTCCTTGGTTCGAATCCCGCGAGCAGCAGAAGTCGTGGATGCTCACTGCCAATGAGTCACATACCATACAGTGCGAACGAATGGGCGAAGGAAGCGAATGAACAGGCGAGGCGCGTTGGAGAAGGCTAATGAGCCAACTCAATTGGGGAGTAACGACGGGCTCACCAAATTATGGTGGCCCGTTTCGAAGGCGGGCTCACCATTTGTAGTGAACACTGGCGAGCGAATGAGCGACTGAAGCGAACCGTATGAAGCGATGTGGAGAAGGCCAGTGAGCCAACTCAAAGAGATAGGGCGTGACTAAGAATATGTAGTCAGACAAATATATAAGACAAATAAGTGACAAGCGAAATAGGCATACATGAATCAAAGCGACGAATAGTTGACAAGGTCAAATGACAAGTGGGACACGTCATGTGAGCTCATACAAACCAGACAATAATAAGAACGAATGGTAAATATAAGTTGTTGTTACGCAAATGGCTTGGTTATATAAATTATTCGAAAGGGCTTAACCAAGTTAGATGTAGGCGAACTGAAATATATATGTGGAGGCACTCACTACAAGTATATACTATCATCTGCATTAAATGTAACCATGTTATCGATTAATAAGACTTTTTAACTCACAGAATAGATTCTACAATTAACAATGCTTCATCTTCCAAAAGATCAATAAACGAAACACCAGATCCATCTTCAGCATTAAATAAACCATTTTCTAAATTATCTCCATTGCATTTCTTCATCTTCTTATCATCCAACTGGTCATCATTACATTCTTTCTCATTTACACCATTACTCTGTAGTTCACATTGTAACCTTCTTGGGCAGCTATTTTGCTTTTCTCTTTTACACAGATCAGATAACAAATGAACTAAACTGCTACCAATGTAAATGATGTGAAAACGATTATTGATTACTGGTGATGCTGATGATGAGTTATTTTCATCAGTTTTAATAAATAAAGATCGATATCTTGTTGGCAAGTCTAGAAAACTGTTACATGGAAGAAAGTTAACTTTGAACTTGTTTGCAATATCCAATGGAACTGAAGAAAAAAAGACGTAACAGAAAACAAATATGAAATTAGCAATTCACGTTTACAAAAATGGAATTCGACTAAATTTGATAACAATTATCAATTTCTCTGTCACACACTCTCTCTCTCTCAATTTTTTTCAGAATTGGAGAGTACCATTACGTAACTCTATCTTGGAACTAATCTATAACTTACAGCTTTGCAACATCAATCAAATCAGGATGTGTTTAACGTTTAGGAGTTTAAACTGTTTAAGACTGACTATCTAAAACTCATTATCTATTGATTGAATTAACAATTAGAACGATTAACAATGTCATAATCCAAGTTTAAGCATTAACTTGAAATATACTAATTGAGAAAAGATTGCTGAGTTGCTGACAGAATCGAGGCTTTCTTAGTTTTAAATAATATTTCCACAATAAATGTCAACCTACAGACCATATCAACATTTCAGCATTCTATCAACTCGTGTTAAAACATTTTCATCGATAAAGGTAACACTGTCAAATTTAAATGTTTCTACGTTTGTTCATTGAATATAAGAACGGTGAAAATAGATTCGAAAATCAAAACTATTTTTGGGCTAGAAATGTTTTGCTAAACAGAATTGAAATCGAACCATTGATATTTGTTTGATTGACCCGATAATCTTGATATGCTCTTCAGTTGACATGCTTGAACTATTACGAGTTCACCTTTGTCGGTAAACGAGAGCAAAGACAAATGATCCAGTGACACGATAGGCTATTCTAATCCGTTTGTCCCCGGACCGGCTAACTATATCAAGAAGTCTTGATAAGGTGTAGAAAGTGTATTCTACAAACACCCTGAAAATACGAGGTTGACAAGCACACAAATCGAGTGCATTTATACATGACTGAAATGTCTTTGGGAGAGTCACAAAAAAATAGCGTACTAAAATAATCCATCAACCAATGACATTCAAGGATTTTCCAAGTGGGAAAGTCAAGCTGAAGGTCAACTCAGCAACTTATGCGCGAAAACATTAAAAATCCAAAATTAAGACCTTTTACAAATGAGTTCTGGGGATCTAACGTCCCCAACAAATCTAAAATCGCTATGACTAATAATCCCGAAACAAGTTGAAATTTACTGATCGAGCTAAAAAAAAATCAATGCATAATAATAATAGTAATAATTTTCATTTCAAAAAATATTCACTGCATAAGTTGTTTTATTCTACCTATAAAACGCAGTCGTTAACGAAAAATAACCATGCTAGGAATAAAACAATTAATTTTAAAAAATAATAATGTGTTGATTCTTCTATGAATTACTTTTTATTGTAATGAAAGTCCGACTAAATAAATTGGAGTATATCCTACCTCCAACTGAACTGGTACAGCCAAATGTGAGGAGAGTCCGCTCTGCCTATCAAAATGCTCTCGTATACAACCATCCGCATATAACGACTATGAGGGAAGTCCTATTCACTTTCTTTGCGAGGCGGAATCAAGAGGACAAAAAGCGAATGTAGACACCCGAATTTGAAATTAACAAGCTGGATTTTGTGAGAATCGATCGTGTACCGACCGAATTGCAACATTATGCATCATTGTGTAATAATCAAATGAATTGGATTCAAGACCCTACAACCACTTCATTGACTACAAGAAAGTATCATCAGCAACAACGTACTGTGGGAGAGAACAAACTAGATTCCAGTGGAGGAATAAATCAGGAAGAAGCGCTAGAAGTAGACAGGACACACAATGACGAAAGCACTCAACTGCGTCACAAGACAAGCCTTCTTGGTCAAAGGAAAAGAGGACGGCCAATAAACACATTACGTTGACAAACTTAAACTGACATGAGAAGAATGAACAAAAATTAGACAGGACTTGGAAGGGAAGCCTAGGACACATTAGGCTGGAGAATACTGGTCGTCAGCCTATGCTCCATTGGGGGTAACAGGCGTAAGTAAGTAAACATACCAGAATAGCTTTTACTAAGTGAATAGTCAAATGTTACGACAATAAAACAAATTAAATACTTTGACAATATTGATATATATGATGTACCTACCATATTCCGTATTCCCAAGTTGTTGTTTAATTGAATCGTCATTAGAATATTTTGATTGTTGAGGTGATTCAGACAGAGTTGATGATTCCTTTTCCTCTCCGAACTTGTCTGCTACAAAAATACACAGCAAATGATATCAGAATAGCACGAAAGTAAAATTTCAATTCATCATATCTGTACAAAAAAAATTATACTTGATTTCACAAGTTGGACAAACACCAGGTAAAGAATATTAGATATTTTTCATAAGTACTGGTAGTCTATAGCCTATTCAGTCACGTATAGCTTGTTAAATTAGACTCAATCTATCAGTCAACAAGAATGATGACAAATAAGCACAAGTTTGAAAAAGATCAGATCAGAAGAGCAAACGATCGAAATGTAACATGAAGATGATGACAAAAATATTACATGATATGTCAACAGAATAAATTGTCAATAACTTGTGAAGAAATTTGAATAGTTCACTTCGATTTGAAGTTGGCGTCGATGATTGTGTCAAAAAAAGTAACATAATTTTTATGGGTAAGTCAATCAGGTTACAGAACACATCATCTCATGGTAAGTAGTATACCCTTCGTTCTCTGAGTTGATTTTTTTCTTGATCGAAGAATCAGTCTTAACTCTCTCTATCTAATATATGAACACTGTTACCTCAAACATCTTATTAATGAGGTTACATGATTTATTTACACTCAGAAGCGTTCGGTTTTTTCTACAAGTCAAATTTCTTCAAAATACTAGTTTTGGTATCGTCATAATATTTTTAGTAATCCAACTCAATACTTAACATTATTCGCTTCTGTAGGAACTGAGTCGGTTATTAATGTAACTTTTTAGGACAACAGATGACTCTATGGGGTTTCCCTATAATTGTGCTGGTGTTTCGTTCTCTGAGTTGGTTGTTTTGGTTGTGGAGCTTTCATTGTTCTTCTGAATAACATCGTCAGCACGAACTTCAGATAGCAGAAGTGAAGTATTCGAATTTCTTCATGTTTGACCTGTAGCATGTTCTGCTAACCTCGATCTTGATTGGTTGCTGTTGATCTTAAACCTGTCGTTGTTTGCAACTTTGTTTTGATTGTATCCCCCTTTTGATCTGTTTCTTGACCCTATTTCACCTATGATTTTCCTGATTGGCTGATAAATTGGGTCAATGTCGATGTGTTTGTTGATTGCTGATTGACCTGAGTACCAAGCTTCTGAAAAATTCTCTAATGTTCTTTGTCCTCCCCCTATCCAGTATTTTCACATTGTTCCAGTCGAACGTTTGTCCATAATTATCCGCATGTATTGATGTAAGCGAAGAATTGTCGTGGTGTTTGACTGCCAATTGGTGTTCACGTAAATAAAGCTGAAAAGGACGTCCACTTTGTCCGATGTAGTGTTTTTCACAGTCTAAGTAATTTATTTTGTAGATGATATTTGGTTTTTCTTCATTTTGTCATTTGGTCCTCTGGTCGACATAAGATTGATTGAAGTGATTCTGTTGGTTTGTGTGCCACACCAACTCAAAATGGTCTCAGTAGTTATTCTGTATGTTCCGATATGACTTTTATGTATGGTAGAAGGATCCGTTTATTCATTCCTGTACTTGATTTCGCTTCTGTTGACACTTTCAGTTGATTTTTTTTGATGAAGTTGCTGCCTTGATAACTGAATAACAAAAAGCGATAGGTTTCCCAAATCATCATATATGGTATGGACTAGTTTGTTATTATGACTAAAATGTTTCGTTATTCTCTGTATCATGTGGATAGATTGTCTTACTTTGCTGGCCAACACATTTGTAACAACGCTAAAGTAAATGTGTTCAAGATGAGATTGAAAAAAAGTGAAACTTTTTCTTCCACTGAACAAATCTAATCTTGTGAGAAGTTACGATCTTGGAAGCTGCGAATGAATCAGTTACTTGTCGTCAACACTGAATGATTGCTAGCCAACTGAAATTCCTAAATGACTAACACTAGGAAATTCCTATTTGAATCCTAATTCCAATACATTTTACTGGATCAAATAGCTTCTTTCTAATATTTCCTCTTTCACTAGTGTGGTGCGCTCTACTTATCAGTAGTATATGATGCGAATAAAAACGTAATGTCTGGCAGCAGAAGATGAGGGAAGATCAAGAAAGGAAGAACGGGAACACAATGGAATTTGTATGAAACGCATGAACAGTGGTGAAATGTCAGACAATGGATTGATGTTTTGCAACAGGAACAGTCCAGTTCGATATGATGGATTGATATTTTGCAAATTAACGATTTACAATATGGTTTTTCTATTTTACCAATTAACTAACTCTGTAATTTGAGGTAAATACAATTCGGTTGCCGTCATCTGTGTTCTCCTTCACTACACTAGTTGATATCAGTCGTTGATAAAGTCAAAGCCAAAAATAAATTCATGATAATATTTTTACTATTCAGTTAACTTTTAAACAAATTCTCAATTAACTTACGCTTTGTTAATATACACTCATCAGTATTTTCATTTTTAACAGTTAAATGTTGTTTGTCATCACAAGTGCCATTCTCTACTGTGGCATCATTTTGTGAATGGACTTTTTCATCTTCAGGAAAATCAATATCACTATTGGTTGTTGTGGATGAGTCGAGAAATGGAGCAGCTATATGCAATGGACAGTCTTTTTGATGTTCTAATTGCCAGAATATTTTACGAAGATTCACTTCAGATATAGTTGACGCTGCATAAGCATGCTTTCCATTCACCAGACGATTTAGTTCACAACATTCAGATGTATCAATGCCAAACACTAAATATGGTGAACAGATTATATCACCCCAATAGCCTGAGTAGACTTTTTTATCACCAGTTGAATCTTTGAACACTTTACCAGATGCTAAACTTCTATTCGGGAGATTATAATTGGCATCTCGTAGTTCAAATGCCATTCCATATTGACGCCAATGAGCATATTCTTTAAAGTTTATTTGAGTAGCCTTTTACAAAAATTGTACAAAATAAATTAGTTTCATAAGTATATTCATCACGTAAAATGGATATAACTTCAATAAAAATGTTAGCAGTAATAAAATTCATTGTTACAGTGTAAATATGCCACTTAATTGGAAAAGTGGGTCAGTAGTACTTTACTCACTAGTTTTACGAAGAGAACGCTAGTGGTTTAATAGAAATATACATTAATATAACCAATTGTACCAGTGATTGTTTTACTATACTCGGGTGTTTATTCTTACTCTGTACGTGGAAACTTTCTGTTTGTATTGCTACTACTTTGGTTGTATTGCCTGCTGTAACTTCGCCCCTCTTTTCTGGCACGATTTCTGTATCCCTTCGATACCACGGAATCGCCAGCAAATATATTCCCTTGTATTAACTCTTCTTCTCCATCCTTGATTCATGGAGATATTGCATTAAGTGACGGGAACGTAATTGATCTGTAGTAGTGTCCATAGTCAACGTCGACTCGTTGCACGACAAAGCATTCACATGAATTATGTAGATCAAATGATCAAGGAGTTATACTGTTAAAAATACTATTCATTAACAATATATCTGCCCTCAAAAAAATACTGTTAACTAGCTGACAATAGTATTTCACTATCATTACTTATCCCTAAACGTTTCGAGCTAAATGAATACATACTGTCAGATCAAAAGCATTAATGAAATATCGTGTTCAAAGAATGAGATTCACAGAGTTTACATTAAATAGTTATGAAGATTGTTGCTTTTCATTAAGACCATGAATCGATCATTGTTAGACCACCATTAAAAACCTGGAATCACTGCGGACGGTCGTTTCCTCTAAGTATAGGGCTCATCGGCAGTGCGCATTAACGATTCTGCCCTCGAGAGTCGAACTCCCGACCTTCGGTCTCGCGCGCGGACGCGTAGCTTCCAGACCACTGAGCCGACATCCAATGACGTTAATGTCTAACTTCGATCAATTTGAATTATTGCGCCACGTCTAATGCATCCAGGTTTCTAATGGTGGTCTAACAATGATCAATTCATGATTTCAATTCACAAAGTTAATCGTCAATTGACTGAGTGGTCTGTGAAAATGATTTTTCTCATGAACTAATATCAGCTAGAGAGTTAAGTATAAACCAAAGAATTATTTAATTGTCGCTCATAATCTCACGATCCCATAAACCAAAGAGAATTTAGAAACTTGATTACATACTGCTTATAATCTTAGTACTTTTAAAAAATACTGTTCACTTTAACTGTACAGCTTCTTAATAGATTATTATACTTTGAATTTTTTCATACGATTAAATGAAGAGTAAACATTTTAAGATCCTAATCACCTGTTATTTACAACAGAACGATTTGCAATATTTCAGTTAATAGATTAAGATTTCCTAATATGTTCACGAGATTAGTGTAAGTAAGTATCTTCAGCATATAATTTGAAATTAAGAAAGCCTTCACTCTTGACTACCACTTTAGAATTTCTTCTTACTGGTCATAGACTCTACATAGTTGAAAAACTAAAGACATTGTTAAATAGTTCACAATACAAATATATTCTCTGTCATTCTCGAATCTGACGTGATGATTTATGTGTGAGTATTTTTCATTTTATGAGTAGTTTCTAATCATTATTTCATTTACATTATATGAGTATCAATAATAACAAATTGTTAAGTATTCATTTACCTTACGATCGTGTAGAGTAATGCTACAATCCCAATCGAACACATTTGGTATAGCATCATAACGAGTTCCTAAATGTTTACGTAAACGATAATCCCTGTTTTTTTTTTATAAAAAAAAAGACAAAAACAAAAGGATATCAAAATTGTGTTTAAACATCAGATTTAAAAAAAAACTACTTAATTCAGTAGTATAAATCTCAATCAGAAGAAAGTATACAATATTATTAAGGATGAATAACGTATGCATAAATTCATTTAGATGTAAACATCAATCACCACTAGTGGTGATCAGAGCAATGATGCACGCAGAAACAGTAGTTTATCAGCGACTCAAGTGATTGGTTTTGAATTATAGTCAAAATGGAGCGTGGAATAAATGAATGGTGACTATCGTCCTCATACCATGATAGCTTAATGGATTGAAATTAATAAGATGGATAGCCATGAAACTAAAATTATTAAATGGCAAGCATAATAAGAATAATTCACCACATTGTATAGAGTGTGTGAAAAGAAAGTTATGAAAGTCATAATCTAAAGAAAGATAAGAACCGAGTGCACTTGAACCATCGCTACCGGTTCTAAGCTATGTCACTCAAAGTTTCAGATTATCGATAGCGGTTATTGCACGAAATCCAACCGAACAGTTCATATCTGCTAGAAGTTTTCAGTAATATTGTTTCCGACTATTGTTCAAAAAGGGATAGGATCTAGATCTTGGAGAAAGTAAACATTTCTTCAAGGTTGTTGATATACCTCGATAACAACTACCAACAAAACTTAAACCATTAATACGAATATTCCCTTACGTACTTTCAACAACTCAAAAATCTGTGACCCTATACTGAAATTCATAAAATATATAGGATACTGTCCCTTCTATTAAACAAGCATAGAAGTAAGGAACATTAAATTTAATGGTTACAGGGTCAAAACGAGTAAGATTTTATTAACGCTCTCAATCAGGCACCAAGTTAACATTCCCTACATTTTACTGGAAAAATTTGTTCCAAAACACTTGTCATGAAACTGTAGCGGTATGCCTTTACGAAGAGAACACAAATGCTAAAATGGAAACACTTATTCTTGTAAACAATTATAACGATAACTGTTCTAGTGTACTCCTTTTTGTTTAACTATACTAAAGACCATAACTCGCGCTCTAAGCCTGTTACTTCCATTCCGCGCTTCTCCTCGGTGGTTGTTAGCTGTTGCTTTATTGCAGTCTTGATATCATTTCGACACCATGAGACCGCGAATCAATACACCTTGTCATCTAGCCATAGTCTTCCTTCTGATTTCTGGATTTAACGGGATTTTACTTGCTGAACTCGTGACTAGTATGTACATTTCAAAAATTACGTTAATTTGTGCTTCATTTGACTTTATTGGGAGTAGTCTTAGAATAAAGTCGTTTTCAACAAACTATCATCACAAGAATGACATCGAAGTTTGCTTAGAAAGGACATAAATATGTGAGATTTGTGTCGTAAAACAACTAAATTCTAAAGATTGAAACAGTTAACGAGTGTCAATCAGAGTGAAATTTATTTTTCTTTTGAATCAATAGTGAAAACTATAAATACAGAATGAAATAACTTTGAATCTAGTAGATAGCTTAATTTAAATTTAGCCTTTTGAATAAACTGTCATTCTCTCTTTGTCGATAGATAACAAACGAACTTCTTCCATATTTTAGCTTCAAAGTTTTAAGATGAATGCCTAATAATAACGACTACTTCTCATTGGTGTTTAAACAAAATTAAATTTTCATCAATACATAGAACCATATAAATTTCAATCTAATGCTTAATTTACAGCAAAGTTAAAAGATGGAAAAATGCATCATCAAAAATATATTATGATCGCCATTTAACTAAAGATATCTTATTGTGTTTAAACAACGTAGATCTTAAAAAAATCACATTAAAACGTTACGTTGTTTAACGAATAGTGAGAAGCAGGTTGGTGTTATGTATCTAAACAAGATAAAGTATTTAACAGTATTATTCTCTACTTTTATGTCCTAACACTCAATAACACGTATAAATGACCTATGGGTAATCAGTATGCAGCAACGACAAGGAAGCTGCTACTCTGTGCCTGATGACTGAGCCAATACCAACTAGCCCCAAACGCCAAGTAAGGACAGAAATCCAATGACCATTTGTCCAGAAACGTTACTATATTTCAGAAGTTTATTTATATATTTGTGTTCAAATATCAGAAAACATTGCATCAATAAAGGGAATATAAAAACCGTCCGTGAATAAGCCAAAATTGGAGAGTCTGTAAATATTAATTTGTTGACAAAATCAGAATGCTGAAGTGTGTGGTAATAATTTGCAGGTTTATCGAAAGCTTCAAATAAGTAGAATATGCATACCTTATGATTTAATTACTTAATAATTATGCGATAACAATACATACAATAACCGACAAATCGGTCTTCAAGTTACTACTACTTTACCCTTTGTCTTGACATCACACCCACTACCTAATGACAAGGTTAACTTGCGGCTGTTGTAGATTAGGGTATATTTTTGTTCATATTTTAAACGTGATTGCTGGAATGACGACTGTTGGTGAACTTTTAATTTGTTAAAAAGAGATGTCATTTGGTATTCTTCTTCTAATTCGCTCTTCTTTAGACCAAATTGGAAAAATACACTAGTTGTCAAAAAAGCTATTTTCAGGTAACCTTCAAAGTATGGTTACGACCACAGATAGCATACCATTACATATCGGTCAATAAAGAGAAGGGGTATGAAGTCAAACTAGTGGAAAAGGACTAAATAAACATAATAAAATCAAATATCTTAATATGCTGTGTCATGTTTCCTAAAAACGGATAACAGATCTTATGCCTCAAACATGTTTGCTCGTTACATGTGAATAAAGATTAAACAGGTCCTACGCGACGAAGTATACGAGTATTATTATACACCAAACATTCGTATTGAGACAAGCAACTATCAAAGAAATTCTGAAGAGTTTGAATGAATATTGTGAACTGCCTCTATTGTATCTAAAACTGTCTTACAAACATCACAAAATCTCGGTTACAAACAGATGAGAAGGAACAACCTCAAATCTTCAGAAGTGATCAGAATACTAGAACACCATTCATGAAATGACTGAAGTTTGAAAAAAATCTCAACAAAAATTACATTAACAGAATTCAGAAAGGAGTGGCAATAAATTTTCTAGCGCAAAAATGAACGATGATGACTGACAATCTAGTATTCGAATCTCCTTTTCTTGTAATAGTAATTAGTAAATGACCAGAACTAGGTTAAATGAGGAAAAAGTAGGACCAGAATATCTGATGCAATTTTTCTGACCTAACAATAAAAAAATAACGTACCAACACTTTTCAGCATCAAACTTCGTATCATCGCTCCCCCGCCAAAACTTAAGTGTTGACTCCAGCATATCACGTTCCTTGAATTTGAGATGTGACAAGTCAGCAAACTTAAATGACAGAGGTGGACCTAAGCTTGTCACCAATCTGAAAGTAGTTGGTTTATTATAGAAAACCAGTGAACCTTATTAGATTATTTGCAGCATTGATCAAATATTTAGATGTTACGTCTCGAATCATCATATTCCCAAAGATTTCAAGAAAAATCTCTACCTTTTCTTCTGAGGTTAGATCAAAATTTCATATTTTACCCTGCAGCCCCATCCTTTTGTATGGCTCCAGAGCTGTATATAGCTGAAGCATCTGTCTGGCGTACATTTCATGGAATGGTTCAATCATATAAAACTGAGCAACAAACTCGTGAAGTAACAACAAAATTACCGTTGGATACCTATTTTGCTCGGTGAAATTTGAGGATAAAGTCCACAAGATGTGCCTTGAATCACCCATTCCTACGCATAGTATATTAATATCTAAATTGTGAATATACTCCATCAAAAAATCTATAATTACTATCAAAATAATCGTTCGAACAAAAACTGTCAAAAACTTTCGCAAGATTCATGGCAGGGGTAAGACCCCACCACATGATATTCCCTAACGAACCATCGAGTTTGATTGTCATAGCAACCAAAGCACCGCAGTGTTTGGATTTCCGCTTGAAGTTTCAATCCTCAATATCTTAGTACCTATTTAATCTGAATAAAATGACTTTCTACTCATTTTTCGATACTGGGCTACAGATATAAGCATACCTTTCAGCAATTAAAAAAATTGAAGTACCCCATTTACTGAATGAAGCGCGTTATTATGCAGTGGGACTCGACTAACGCAAACAAAAAGAAAGATCCTCCAACACTTTAGTGCAAACACCTGCCAAACCACATTTGGTGGAGAAGCTCTGGAAGATGTAGAAACGTTCGCATACACAGAATTTTTCACAGATAAACGAAAAGGTTCTGGAACATATGTAAATGCACGGATTCGCGAATCAAGGACAGCATTTCCAATGTATAATATCTAATATCTTATTCACCAGCTAGTATAAAACAGTTGATTTCTTAGCAGCCGATTCTTGTTCTTTCTATGCTATTCCAGGTGTTTGATAGTGTGCAATCAATGGGGGACTAGACGTTTGACTGCACTAATTCTAGTCAGTTGGCAGTTATTCATGGGGTTTGCATGTCACGTGACTTGAATCAGTAAATGTGTTCCAGTAAATTAGGGTTTATAGATACGGGCAGAACAGAATAAATCTCTTCAACTGAATACCCAATGTCTTTTCAATGAGCTAACATAAACCACTTGATTTCTTAGTACTCGATTCTTGTTCTAATGGTAGTACATCTGGTATTTGGTTATGTCCAATGAATCGTAATCTAGTTACTCGACTGCACTAATGCTCGTCAGTTAGCAGGTATTTACCAATAAGTATATCCCTTGATTTGAGTGAGTGTGTTTGTTTCAAGACAAGACGGTTCTCGGGTACCTGTAGCTATCACGTTACCTGGTCAAACATCAGTAAGTTCCAATGTGAAGAACATTGAGGGAAAAGTTCTAACTCTGGAGAAGTGGAAAACTTCAGTACTTTGTAGATAACTGAATAAGTTATTCAGCCGGAACTGATGAGAACAATAGTGTAAGAAAGAGAGGGGAAACGAAGATAATAAACTAGAGAGATCAAGTTGGTGACCCGAGGAAATAGCAATAATAACATCCCTTACGTATTATGAAAATGTTATCAGGCTATCTGTGATTAATAAACGGAAATCGCGTTCTGATAAGAAGTTTGGGAATCGACTTACATGGAGGACATACGTGGTCTGTTTAATTTGAAGCGAAATGTTCATCATACGACATTTCAAGTGGTTAGGCTTCGACTCGTACAATACCCATTTCTCTCTTTCGATTAAAGGTCTCCAGATCCTCACACCATCTCTACACAGTAATTTTATCTACAGTATCAATAAAAGATATCAGGAAGAGGACTGGACTCAAGATTCTCCCCGTGAAATTAGTGATTTTGAGGTCATCCAGCTCGAATAAACTCTATTTAGATTAGTACGAAATTTCTTTCTTATCTGCAATCATTGCGTGCGCTCTTAATCGGTCTATGTTTCAGCAGACTCTACACCAAATCGTTTTCAGAACGAGACGAGGAGTTTCCAAACATCAGTCAATTAAACAGGTGCCACTGAAACTCATTGCTCCTTCCTAATCTTACGATTTGTCTTACAGGCGGATATCACTACTGTATTCACGAAATTTCGAGTACCATTAAAAACTATCTGGAGGTGTGGATCACTTACATGGCTGTCTAACTGCTTCTTTAGGTACTTGGCTTCTATGTCGTTAAGTTGAAGTCTGATGGGTTTCCGTGCTGTCCTTTCTGTCCAGTAAGCCAAAGACAAACACGTTCTCAATTTAGAGAATGATCCTAGTCAAAACATGAGATCCAAAACAAGCGGCAGTCTTTTATCAACCCTCTGATTGCGATAAGGTCTAGTTGCATGCAGCGTCCAGTTGACGTTGGTGATATCGGGTCAATGAACGCTTTTCTTATGGTTAAAATTGCTATTTGCCAGTACATTGTTACAGAAGACGGACGCTATTAACTGTTCTTTCGGCCTCGACTTCGTAAATTCCCACGGCGGTTTTTCAGTTTCGTTTAATTTACCTAATTAGACAATAAAGTCACCATCACTTCATCAGAGCGCTCAGCTTGTTGAAGAAGGCTTGAAAGATTTCCACAAATTATTCTTTTACTTATTCTGAGCTGCAGTTGTTCAAAGCATATGCAGAAACAGGAAGATGCGACATCGGGTGTTCCTATCGTTATTAGTCTTTACTGTCCCATTTAGTCAGAGAGGGCATAATTATCTTATGGGTCGAATCTAAGAGAGCTAGTTGTGCCTCAGGATTCAATGCTATACATACACCAATGAGGCCACAGGTAGTAGCATTTGGGTTCCTAGACACACGAAGAGTAGAGTGAAAATATTTTCGATATCGAAAAGATATGATAAAGTGAATAAATGTACTCGGGTCCTGCATGTGCATTTTGGGGGGGGGGCGTAGCATACTTAAATAGCGCGGCATCCTAGAGCCCTAGCTATGGAAGCCTGTTGTTCTACTTAGCACAGGTTTTTAACGTGTTGCCCGCTCTCTTCTAAATGACTCACTACCGGAGATAGAAATCCGTGAGGCAAATTAGAGTGGGACATCTTCAAGGTCGACCCTTTCTGATCCTTTCCTACAGTTGTGAGGGGTCAGTGCTGTAAATGCTGGTCGTTCGATGGTAATTCCTTACTGCTCTTACGCATCTCGACAGTCAGCAGTACGATCCTGCTTTCAAACACTGTTCCCGCTTTTAGTCCGAGTGTTCTCCAATCGACCCACCTGGCAAAGCAGGACCTAAAGAAACATGTGTCCTAGCCAGTAAAGCTTGGTTAGGTCATCACGAAAGGCAAGCCCAACTACCAATTCTAGGTAGCAGTTGCGGTCAGGAAATACGACAATTTAAAGTACTATGCATCCATACGGCAGATTAGTACAGAACGCCTTACAAACTTGCCTAAACCTTGTCTGTTTGACTGTAACGTCGTTGGTCATATTTCTAATACATATACGCAACCACCATTGATTCCTCATCTACATTAACTGCTACGTTTCCGTACTTACCTATGTCCGTTTGCCTATGTGAACTATAAACGACGAGATGCAAATCTACTTTCGTGAGTACGTCGAAAGTGCCGCTCTAGTTCATTATATATTCCTTAAAGTTCGCTTGCTGTTACAAAAACAATCTTCCCACTGCATCAGTATTTAGTTCATAAATATCACCTTTCCACAGTGAGATTAACTAAAGTAATTAAGTACAAAGTGTATTTTACGTCAAACAACTGTAGTCAGTATACGGCTTGCAAAAGTAATAAACAACTAACTACCCAATTTAATTGCATTTTAGATGAAAATCACTGCGTGTGCGCAAGTATAGCGATCTAACTGTTGCCAAAGCTATGAAGTTTACTGTAACTTACAAAATATTTTAGCAAAAGCAGACTTGCAGTCAAAACTTGATATGCGAATATTTGCTGTCTACTTTAGCAAACAAGATTTTGAAAGCCGGGGGATTTATCGAGCTATTAAGTACTGTTTGAAGTATGAGAGTAGTTGTACGTGCCGTACAGACATTGAACTATATCCTAAATCTAAATGTATGACCTTATATATACCATGTGTATATGACACTAAAACAACTAAAACGAAACTAAACAGCACCTACACTTACATTAAATAACAATATACTACTTACAAAAAAAACTAGCCCAAAAATTCGTTGAAATGCTGATTCGTCACAAGTAAACCGGAATACATGAATTTTTCTTAAAACAATACACATTTACAAAAGAACTTCCTTCATAGCGATTGTGTGCAAAACATATCACCATGCTATACACAACTTACATTATATTGAATGATATGATAAATTTGAATAGCGAACAAGAAAAACAAAAACAACAACAACAACAAATAGATATGAGAGATTAAAATGAAGAAATTGAAAAAAAGAAAATACCATTCATTAAAACAAAAGCAAAACATTTGTGTACATTAGAAATATGATCACTCCCTGAATAGTGTCTATGCTTGTATTTTCACACTGTTTGTTAATAATCTCTGCTTCGCTGCAAAGTATGAAATGAGAATCCTATCAACTGAATATGAGTATGGAATAATCAGTTAGAGGAAATCAATAATATGGTATGGTTAAAATGTGAGTAAATCCAATGTTTACACGACAAATCTACAAATGATAAAAATGATGATAAAAGCGAAAAATTCGTTATTGAAATGAAACTGACAGAATTAAATATAAGTCAATAAAACAACAGTTAAATCTAAGATTCTGTTGTTCATGTACTTTTCTTAACTTGGCTATTTTTTAACGAAGGCTGTCAGACAGTCAGTTGCAACGTAGAACTTCGTACGTATGTAGATAAGTTCATGTTGTCATACCACATTAGCACAGAGACGCAAATGTCAAATCAAATCCCATAGTGATAAAGATAGAAGAGGTATTAATGGTAATGCAGAAGACTAAGGTTTGAAGATATTACTCAAGAAGTATAATTCAGTGAGATAAGGTTAGAAAGACAAAGGTAGAGGTGCTGACGAATCCAGAAGATTTGAGAGAGCTCAACGAATAGATGCACCCGACCGAAGCTGCTACCTTGACGTGGTGGTCGGGATTGCCTATCGTGATCACCCAACCGAGCTATATTGGCTGGAACATATATTCCTGAAGGTTCTACCATGCCAGGCAGGTCGACTGGAGAAAGATGAGACTAAAAGCAGCTACTCAAGGTCTGAGGGCGAATTCGTACTGCTGACTGCAGAGGGGTGTGACAGCAGTAAGGTGTTTCCCTCGGACAACCAGCATCTGCAGCGATGCTGCCTTCTCACAGGGAAGGAAGGGCTAGAAAAGGTCGACCCTAAAATGTCACACCTCACCCTACCTCACGGATTTCCGTCTCCGGCGGTAAGGGTGCCCACTAAGGGCTTTCAAGTGCGGAGCTAACACTCAAAAAACTTCTCATAAAAAGGTCGTGCGTGACCGGCCACAAGCAGTTGTCCCTTGGACTCTGTGGTCACGCCCCAGGTCTCTAAGACCAACACTAATCTACCTTCCTTTTCAGGTCCCTCAAGAAACAACCTTCCACGGTGTGGGCAGCCGGGAAGTGACAACCGCACTCATACCCGTAACAGCACACGAGACCAAATTGGTCAAAATCAACGAACGATATACTCATCATATAGATATGTATACGTACTTTGGTAGAGAGAAAACTATACAACTCATAACGCGATACATAAATCAGTGAGAAGAATGCTGGTATTCTAAAAACATGAGTTTACTGCATTTATTTAGTGGCTAGTAATCAATCTTTTATAGATTTTATACCTGAAAGTGTCAAATATTTATTGTTTGTCATGAAAAAGTATCCAATGGGTAACAGTGAAAAGTTATTGGTTGGCTTTGGAACTTTCATTTTTGAATGTTGACCGATGCATTTACGTATAGCTTGATAAGTTGGATTGTTTTAGTTGAATATTGTGTATACAAATGATAGTTTTAAATTGTAGGCAGTTTGACCAGCTGATCCACCTTTCCGATATCTATATTCAGGTAGATTTTTTTGATCATTTCAATAAATAAATTATTTGTTTAGTAATCTTTAATTAATACAATAGATTCACTTGGTCAGTAGCACACTATCCTAATAAAACTCGACACAAGAGTTATAAATGTTCCAGCTATATTACACTTTTTTTGTAACAACAATACAGAGGAAGGGAAACGATCTCTCTTTTTTTGTAATAAAAACCAGAATGAATGCAATGAAATGAGAAAAGCATGTCAAGAATAATTTGTCCAAGATTAAGAACAAGATAGCAAGGAATCCATTGAACACTGTTGTCATGTGACTCAAGCTGTATATGAATAAATATACATTTATTTTACGTAGTCATTTTTCCCCTAGGTTTGTACTTTAAACGAAATATTTCCAAAATGCTAAACAATTTTTTTTGAAACGTAAACAAAAATCCCACATGATTGGATCTGATAATAGGAAATAATTATTTTTCGTATATTTTGAAAAGAATTTCATACGATAATACAATCAGCGATTATTATTATTATATATTTATCTCACTAGTCATTTGACTAGTAAATAAATTTACGATTGGCACATAGCCAGCCAATGCATGGGTCTAGTAGAAAAAATTTTAACTAGGAAACGCAGATTAATTTGAAGGTATTGCCCATTTTTATTGGAGGCGGCGAGTTTCTGTTAAAGTACAGAAAGCTATTCGTTTAGTGGGACTTATTAAGCATATCAATTACTACTTATAGTAGTATGTATGTCTTTCAGTAGCTGTTAACACTTCAAGGCTATTCACAACATCCGTCTTTTGTATCATAAAGCAGAGGGTATAGAGGGTTCAAAAATCGGGGACGTTAGATCCTCAGAGCTCACTTGGAAAAGGTCCTAATTTTGTAATTTATTTCTGAAATTTTAAATTTCTGTGTTTTCGTGCATAAAACGCTTACGTTTCCCACTCAGTAAATCCTTGACTGTCATAGGTTGACGGATATTTTTTTTAGTAGGCTATTTTGTGGCTCTCCCAAGGACGGCGTTGCTATCATTGTATAAATAAGCTTGATTTGTGTGCTTAGCAATCTCGTATTTTTTTCTGAGTGCTTACAGAATACATTCTCTATGGCCTTATCAAGACTTCTTCTTCTTGTTCTTCTAGTTAGCAGAGCCGAGGACAAACGGATTATAGAATAGCCTATCGTGTCACTGAGTCATTGTGTGGTGCGCGCTACTTATAAGTAGTATATGAAGCGAGTGTAAACGTAATGTCTGGCAGCAGGAGATGGAGGAAGATCAAGAAAGAAAGAGTGGGAACACAATGGAATTTGTATGAAACGCATGAACAGTGGTGAAATGTCAGACAATGGATTGATGATGGATTGAAGATTTGCAAATTAACTGTTTACGATATGGTTTTCCTATTTTACTGAGTAACTCTGTAATTTTCGTTAAATAGAATTCGGTCGCCCTCACCGGTGTTCTCCTTCACTACTATCGCTCTTTGTTCCGTTTAGCGAGTAAGGTGAACTCGTAATAGTTTCAAGCATATCCTTGTATAAATATCAAAGTCAAATAACACTATAACATATGTATGAATGAAATATTAAATATCTTGGTATAATACCATTTGAAAAATTCTTAAAGGTTAACGAATACTTCACTGGACTTACTTACTCATATACACATACATATATATTCATAGAGGAAGGAATGAATATCTGTTTAAATCTCTGAGGTATCAGCAATGATATTCTGTTTAGAAAATGATTGATTTATAACCATCGATGTATCTGTACAATCATTATTAGTATCATTAGATTGAGGATTATGTGTAGTACTGGTATTCGTAGGTGTAGTTGGTGTACAACATCCCAATCCATTATTCATTGTTTGATCACAATGCTGATGTCCTCCTCCTCCTCCTCCTGTCGAATGTGTTGTTGTATTTAATGTCAGCAGACGCATTAATAATTTATCACATTTTACACCATTTATAAATTCATCTAATGATAAACGATCATCTCTGTCTAAATCCATCAATTGAAATATTTTCTCAACTCGTTTCTCTGGTGTAGAATCAGTAGCATGAAATTCAACAGCTGAACCAACCATAGCATAAATAGCCTAAAAAAATATAACACATTATTCATTTATATATACGTAAATATGTAAGCAATCTATTATATCAACATGTTCAATGGAGAATTTGAACATGATACTGGGCCTTCAAAAAGGCATCATTGCCAACTGAGTAGTAGCAAGATTTTATTGTGCTTCTTTTAACGAGAGACAAAGATTGTATATCCGAAAGATTGAGGGGGATACATTTCAATGAGAAGTATCAAACAAGGATGAAAATAACACTGCAATTACTTACTTACTTACTTACGCCTGTTACCCCCAATGGAGCATAGGCCGCCAACCAGTTTTCGCCAACCAACTCTGTCCTTGGCTTCCGTCTCCAATTCTGTTCAATGTTTGTTCATTCTTCTCATATCTTTCTCTATTTCTCGGCGTAGTGTGTTCCTTCGCCTTCCTTTTTTCCTTTTTCCTTGAGAATTCCATGTGAGGGCTTGTCTCGTGATGCAGTTAGGTGCTTTTCGTAGTGTGTGTCCTATCCACTTCCACCGCTTCTTCCTCATTTCCTCCACTGAAATCTGGTTTGTTCTCTCCCACAGTAAGTTGTTGCTGACGGTGTCTGGCCAACGAATCCGAAGTCTTTTGCGTAGACAACTGTTAATAAACACTTGTATCTTCTGGATGATGGCTTTCGTAGTTCTCCAAGTTTCCGCTCCATACAGTAGAACTGTCTTGACATTTGTATTGAAAATCCTGATTTTGGTTTTGGTTGAAAGTTGTTTGGAGTTCGAGATATTTTTCAACTGTAGAAATGGCACCTCTGCTTTGCCGATCCGCCCCCTTACATCTGCATCGGATCCACCTTTCTCGTCGATGATGCTGCCCAGATATGTAAAGGTGTTAACGTCCTCCAAGGCATCTCCATCAAGAGTGATTTGGTTGGTGCATGTTGTGTTGCAATAGGTTAGCTAAATTTTTTTCTGACTTTAAAATGAAAAAAAATTTCAGTAAACTCTACATAAAACAGTTTGCTCCATCCTACTTTATGGCTGTGAAACATGGTCAGTTGAGGTAGTTGGGACAGGTTTTATAAATGTTCAACCAACGATTATCTCGTTGGGCGATGTTTTGTGTTGTAGCAGTAGATTGGAAGAAAGCTAGGGGCGGCCAAACCAAAACATGCCACAAATCCATGAAGCCAGTAACAACTGGATTGAGTCATGTTGGTAAGTGTAAACTACCTGGTTGTGGTCTGCGAGATGATAGTAACCGATAGTTAGAGATATTGAATGACATGGCTCAAAACTGTTGTTTGTAGTGGCGCAGGTGCATTCATTCTTTGTGTTTTCTCAAATCCTAAGCTTTGAAGTTTCTCATCACCTCTATCGTTCTCTCTCTTAAATTTTTTCACTGAATTAGACTTCTTGAATAATATACTCGGAACCTAATCTCTCCGACTCCCACAAATACTTCTAATACCTCTCTACTACTATGGCGTTTGAGTTGACAGTTGAGTCTCTGTGCTAATGTAGTATGACAACTTGAACTGGTATACGTACGTATGAAGTTATATGTTGTAACTGACTGACTGACTACTGACAGACATATATATATATATATATATATATATATATATATATATATAGATCATTTATGTTAGAAAAAAAGGAACTATTCTTTGATGAATCAAGACACACTTATATTTCTCTAAATTTACTTACTTACTTATTTATGACTGTTACCCCCCAACGGAGTAAAGGTCACCAACAAGCATTCTCCAACCTAGATATATATAAATTACATAATTTCCTTGCGGTAACTTTATATTCCCCTAATTTTAAAGTTTCCATTAAACTCACTAATTATTGATATTAGCATTACTAATTATAAATTAGAACTACTCAATAATATGCCTATTATTCAGTTGTGAACTACATGAATGCAAATAAGATTTCTTAATTGTAGTGCGTTGTGAACGTGTAATCTTAGCGCGGATACAGAAAGCTCGATTTCCTTTCGCCAATTTACGCTGTTTATGGCGTAGGCGAGATATCCGTTTGCTAACCAAACGGACAGGTGTACTGTGCAGCAGTTCGCTCCGTTCTCCTATTCGGATAAGAAACATGGCCGTTAAGAGTAGATGTTCGTAGGTTACTAGTCTTCGATCATCGGTGTCTCCGAAGCATTGCTCATGTATCCTGGGATGAGCGAGTAAGCAATGCTATCGTTAGGAAACGAGTTCTGGATAAGGATGGCAAATCAATAGATGAAACATTGAAACTTCATCAGTTGGGACATGTGTTACGTATGGCTAACCATCGACTGCCGCGACGAGCTATGTTTTGTGGTATAGGAGTAGGTTGGAAGAAAGCTAGGCGTGGCCAAACCAAAACATGGCAGAAATGCACGAAGTCACTGACAAGTGTGTTGCGGATGTTAGATCCCCAAAACTCGCTTGTGGACTGAGTCATGTTGGTAGATGTAGGCTAACTGGTTGGGGTCCGCGAGACGAAAGTCACTAATGGTTAGAGACTTTGCATGGCCCAGAATCGTTTGCAATGGCGCAGGTGCATCCACTCTTTGTGTTCTATGAAATTCTAACCTTCTGAATTCCGCTAAACCTCTATCTTTCTCCTGCTAAATTTATCTTACTGAATAATACTTCTCGAATTATATCCTCTCTCCCTAATCTTCTCCATTACTGTTAATACTTCTATTATCGTTATCACTCTTGGATTTGAACTGACAGTTGAGTCTCTGTGCTGATGGGGCATGGCAACCTGAACTGATGTACTTATGTATGAAGTTATGCGTTGTATCTGTCTGTCTGTCTGAACAATGTAAACTGGCTTCCTAAATCAGTAGATATTTAAAGAAGTTAAAATCTAAGAATAAATAAATCCAAAAAGAAGGTGAAGTCAATGCCTTAACAAATTATCTAGAGTTCACAGAATAATTTAAATCATATCTCAACAGACAACATTAACAAAAGAAATGAAGAACTAATAATGAACTATTGAATTCATTTAAAACTTATAAACAGTTAATAAACTAAACTAAAACTTGCTCAGAGCCCAGTCACTCAGTCAGTTAGATGCAACGTAGAACTTCGTACATGAGTACATAAGTTCAGGTTGCCATACCGCATCAGCACAGAGACGCAACTGTCAGTTCAAATCCAATAGTGGTAGAGATAGTAGAAGTATTAGCAGTAATGGAGAAGATTAGGGTTCGAAGATATTATTCAAGAAGTATAGTTCAGTGAGATAACTTTAGAAAGAGAAAGATAGAGATGATGAGGAATTCTGAAGATTAGAATTTGAGAGAACACAAAGAATGGTTGTGAGCCGTTTGCAATGGCGCAAAACCATAGAGATACAATTGTTAATTCAAATCCCACAGTGGTAGATGTACTAGAAGTATTAGCGGTGATGGAGATTACGGTTCGAAGATATTATTCAAGGAGTATAATCTAGTGCACAGAATTCAACACTAACAAATCGCATCACATTAAATTGCGTTGCGTTAACCTTCAAACAATGTACGGATAGGAATTCATTCCGCTATAATTTGAACACAATTACATGAGATTATTGGAATGATTAGAGGCGATAAGTGCTGGATTCCAATACTACATAAATGTAACTACAAAATATGGTAAAGAAAACAGAATTATGCTACCATTTTACCTACTGACACAGTTCACTCGGTTTAATCAAGAAACACGAGGAAATACTCACAGTAATGAAAAAGAGGAAAATAGATTTTCTCCATTCGGTTAATTTGATTTTGAAGATAGTTCTCATTAATAGCTAAGTCAGCTGATGAACTATCAGAAATCAGAAAGCACTCGACGGATAGTTTATTCTAATTAGGAAATTCTTGGCAATCTCCACTCACAAAAAAATAAAACTTCGTACTTTCGAGTCTTGTACAGAGACAGAAACAGAATGCCACCTCTAAAAGATTGTATCAAAGTGACTGAGTCATGTCGGTAGTTGTCGACTACCTGGTTGGGGACCACGAGATGACAATAATCGATGGTTAGATACCCTGAATGACATGGCTGAAAACCGTTTGCAATGGTGCAGGTGCATCCACTCTTGGTGTTCTCTCAAATCCTAATCTTCTGAATTCTTCAACACCTCTAGTTTTAACTTTCTAAACTTATCTCACTAAATCATACTTCTTGAATAATATCTTCTAATCCCAACCTCTCCGATTACTTCCAATACCTTAACTACCTCTACTACTACTGGATTTGAATTGACAATTACAACTCTGTGCTAATGTGGTATGGCAACATGAACTGATGTACGTACGTATTATGTACAAAGTTCGACGTTGCATCTGACTGATTGCATCAAAGTTAACATTCACATTAGAATATATATATATTCTAATTTAATTGACGTTTAAAAGAAAAGAGTGAGTGTTAAAATGTGACTGTCAGATGACTGATACTACATGATTAAAGTAACATATTAAACAAAACCTCATAAATTCTTGTTCAATGAGTTGATAATAATTTATGCAGTGAATAATTACCTGTTTGATAACAATTAACACTAGTAATTATCAGTTTAGGTTCGAATGAGATAATTTGTTGTTTCTCGGCATATTTTGGTCACATGTAAATCAATCACTAACTCTGTAATATTTATGGTTAAATTTTTAAAATATGGTAGGTACAGAAAAAAAGAGTACCATAGCTGCTTTAAGATGAGGCTATGTTGACGCCTAGAGCCCCTTCTGGGGTTCTTATCGATCCTAAAGCTTGGATAAATAAGGACGGTTGGATACTGGGTTAACAGCTAAAAAAAAGGCTAATCAGAAAAAATAATTTACATCATTTTATCTCTGCTCTGTGAGTTAGAATGTCTTCATTTGGAAGAATTATGACACCTTATACTGAAAGACAAGTTGCCTCGGAAGACATGAGACTGATGCCCCTTCTGACAACCAGAGCAATAATAAATATAGGCATATGTGAGAGACTGGTAGAACATTCAAGTTGCTGCAGAAATGAGAAGATAAAACCTGGTAGTGCAACTTACTGAACACAAGCTAGACAAAAAATTAACTTCGAGAGAGATGCTGTTGTACTCTGCTAATGAAGAAACGCCTCACACACAAGGACTTGCACTGATGTTATCCAAAGAAGCCCAAAAATCACTCACAGGATGGCCATCCCATGAACTCAAGATCGTTAAAGCATCCCTCAAAACAAAGAAAGAAGGCATTACAATGAAGATCACTCAGTGCTATGAGCCCACCAGCGATAACAAGGACGATAAAGATCAATTCTATGGGAGGTTGCAGTCAGTTATCGGAAAATACCCAGCAAAGGACTTGACAATTCTGATAGGAGACCGAAACGTCAAAGCTGAAATCTACAACACCGGATACAAAGACATCATGGGACAACATAGACTGTGAGAAAGGAACGAAAATAGTGCGATTAGCAAATTTATGTGCGTTCAACGAAATGGATATAGGCGACCCCATATTCCCATGCAAATGCACACACAGAGTAACATGAGTTTCATCGAACTACTAACAGAGAACCAAATCGACCACATGTGCATCGATACACAGTTCAGAAGGACTACAGAAGATGTACGAAAAAAGAGAGGAGTTGACAAAGCTTCAGATAATCACTTGATAAACATTTGTCAGAGTGGACAGAATGACAATATGGAGGCTTCTTCAACACTACGATATACTGGAGAAGATACTCAACATCATACAGAATTCTTACGATGGATTAAATTACGAAGTCAGGAATGGAGGACAGCTCACCGGCTCATAACAAGTGAAGGCCAATGTCAGAAAAGAGTTTTATTGACAACACATATTACTGCTTGCTAATCCAGTAAACTATGGACTTTTAAGTTAATTACCTATTGTAATCTTTTTATTAGATACCAAATGATATTTAGATATTGTAGGTTATCATGCTAACTGGAGTACCAGTCAAGAAAAAACTGGAAAGAAATATTCCCCAACAGTTTTTAGAAAGAAAACTATTACTAAGAAAATGGAATTCCGAAAGTCAGTTAGTCAGTTACAACGTAGAACTACGTACGTACGTACGTCAGTTCAGGTTGCCATACCATATTAGCACAGAGACGCCACCGTCGGTTAAAATCCCATAGTGGTAGAGATAGTAGAAGAATTACTGGTAATGGGAAATATTAGGGATCGAAGATAATAATCAAGAAGTGTAATTCAGTGAGATAACTTTAGAAAGAGAAAGATGTAGATGATGATTTCTGAAGATTAGAATTTGAGAGAACACAGTGAATGAATGCATCTGAGCCATAGCAAACGATTTTGAGCCACGCCGTTCAAACTCTCTAACCATCGGTGACTTTCGTTTCGCGGACTCCAACCCCGTAGCCTACATCTAACGACATGACTCAGTCCACTTCCCAGTGATTTCGTGGATTTGTGCCATGTTTTGGTTTGGCCGCCCCTAGTTTTCTTCCAACCTACTCCTACACCACAAAACATCGAAATTCCGAAAATTTGACACTGGTAGCGTAGAAACTAAAGATTAATAATAGAACCGCGAAATATTGCAAAGGTAGACAACGATCAAAAGAAACCCAACTACATTGAAAAACAAATTGGTTTTGTGATAGTCCATTTAAATTATTAATCTCTCAAACTATTCTTCCAGTGTAGGAGTAGATTGGAAGAAAGTTAGGGGCGATCAAACCAAAACATGGCACAAATGTATGAAGTCACTGACAAGTGGACTGAGTCATGTTGGTAGATGTAGGCTATCTGGTTGGAGTCCTCGAGATGATAGTCACCAATGGTTAGAGACCTTGAACGACATGGCTCAGAATCATTTGCAATGGCGCAGGTGCATCCATTCTTTGTGTTCTATGAAATTCTAAGCTTCTGCATTCCTCATAATCTCTACCTTTCTCCTTCTAAATTTATCTTACTGAATAGTACTTCTCGAATTATATCTTCTCTGCCTAATCTTCTCCATTACTGTTAATACTTCTATTATTGCTATATCACTCTTGGATTTGAACTGACAGTTGAGTCTCTGTGCTGATGGGGCATAGCGACCTGAAGTGATGTACTTACGTAGAAAGTTCTAAGTTGTATCTGTCTGTCTGTCTGTCTGTCTTATCTTGAAATGAAAAGAATGATAACAGAATGACAAAATAACCAATATCAATATATCAATTTCAATATCAAAATAAAAAAAAACAACTTACCGTAAGAACTTCAACTAAATCTTGTTTTGATATATAACCATCATTGTCTAAATCATACATTTTAAATGCCCAATGTAATTTCTGTGTTAAATCACCACGATTAGTAATATTTAATGAAGAGAGAAAATCTCTAAAGTCAATTAAACCATCATGATTTTGATCGAATGTACGAAATACATATTCGGCAAATCGACTAGATTCACCATATGGGAAAAATTTTGTATAAACACGTTTAAAATCATCAACCGATAAATGACCAGTTGGACATTCCTTATTTTTTTTTTAAAAAAAAGTCAAGAAGAAGAAGAGATGAAATAGAAAATGGACTTATTTTCTTCAACAACAAAAAACGATGATTGATCATTGTAAACAATTTAAAAGTTGTACCTTTCTATTTATCAACAAAAATTGTTATCACTACTTGAATATAAAGCGATAATCACCTATTTATTGACATATTAATTCAGATTTACTAATGAACAGTTTAACACCAACCTTGTTTTACAATAACAGAAATATTTCGGTATTTTATCCTGTTAATCCAAATTTTACAACCACAAAGAGTAGTCTTTGATAGAATGCTGAAATATCTAATGATCATGTTTTGTTACATTCAACACTGAATTGTAAATATTAACCTATGAGAATTCATACTCAACATCATCCCAAAAAGAATCTAAGTTAAGTGATAGGGAGAAATTTAGCCAACATTATAAATCATTTGAAGTGATTCAATTATCAAAATATTGATATGATCAATGTTGGGGATGTTAGATCCCCAAAACTCGCTTGATAAATGCCTTATTTTGGTTTTCACGTTTGCCAGCATGGGCTGATCAGATGACCTTCAGATTTCAATTCCCACCAGGAAAATCCATGGCTGTGATTGGTTGCTGTGTATTTTAGTGTGCTATTTTCTTAACTGTCCTAAGGACGTTTCTATGATGTATAAATAAACAAGAGTTGTATGCTTGATTGTACTGTGATTGCTGGGTGTTTGTAGAATATACTTCTACGCTTACAAAGCCTTCTTACCTTACTTAGGGATTCAAGGAAGCCTATCTGGACGCTGGTAATTGTCTCGTTCGCGTTTATCGACTAAGGTGAACTCGTAATAGCCTCAAGCATACTTAGTGACGAACATAATACTTTGCAACACTGTAACTCAAGTTTTAGTTACACTATTATGTGAGAGCAAGTGACACTACCTAGCCAAAATAGCTAGAACAGGATTCAACCGTGTAACTTGGTGGAAAAAAACTTCAGTGACCTTACCGATAAACCACTACATTAGACAACAAAATTTTAAAGTCGTTTCAAGAATTAACTAAATTTCATTTTCATCTTTATATAACTAAGTTCAAGTAAAATGATGTGATACATTTGCAGAGAGTGAGTTGAATACTGAATTCAGCTGCATTTTATGTGTGCGCAATACTAATACTATCCTACTCACAAAACCACAGTTGTGGTGCGCGCTACTAATAAGTAGTATATGACGCGAGTGTAAACGTAATGTCTGGCAGCAGAAGATGGGGAAAGATCAAGAAACGAAGAGTGGGAACACAATGGAATTTGTATGAAACGCATGAACAGTGGTGAAATGTCAGACAATGGATTGATGATGGATTGAAGATTAGCAAATTAACGGTCTACGATATGGTTTTCCTATTTTGCTCAGTAACTATGTAATTTTCGTTAAATACAATTCGGTTGCCCTCACCTGTGTTCTCCTTCACTACAATACTACCTAACCAAAATAGCTAGAACAGGATTCAACTGGGTAACTTAGTGGTTAAAACTTCACTAACTTAACCCATAAACCGCTAAATTATACAGGAAAATTTAAAAGGCGTCGAAATCCAAATTATTAAAATTGAATCAAATTAAGAATTAACTAAATTTTATTTTTGTTTTTATTTAGCTAACTTTGAGTAAAATGACGTGATGCACTTGCAAAGTGAGAGTTGACGTACTTAACTCATCCACATTTCTTTGTGTGCCAATTAATAATAAAATCCTGTACAGAAAACCACAAGTAAGCCTCTGTTTGTCTGTTGCACAAAACTAGGTATACTAAAGAAGCTGACAACAGTTATTAAGCAAATAACCATTAGACTGTTGAATTAAAATTCAGATTTATTTATTTATGTACTACAGTGGAAGTTGAACATGAATTACGAACTAGCCAGTCGAAGAGTTACGTGATATCGCAGTGATAAAATCAAATAATATGTTTACAACTGTTGAACTGATGCAAACGTTAAGAAATAAAACAAATACTAATAATATTAAACTACTGAAAATGTGGAAGCTAGGTATTAGGTCTAATTTAACCAACCTTTAAAAATCCCTTATACCAGTCTTGAATTTCAGTTTCTGTGAAAGATGTTTGATTCAGTAATTCATCAACAGCATCTTGTTTTAATTTTGGTTGCTTTTGACCCATAGACCAGTTGGAATCCAAAGGAAAAGGGAAAAAACAAGTATTCCGGTGTCCTAATCAATTAAGACGTATTTGAAGATACTACACTACAAAAAAATGAATTTATAAGTTTTTATTAACAGATTATCACAAATAAACTTGTATGTTGAAAATATGAAAGAAATTTACTGGCCAGAAAGTGGTTTGTTACATGGAAAAGTATATGCGAAACAACAAACAAACACAATTTTGACGAAACTCATGACAAACATAAATTTATCACAAAAATATACTGGTAAAAATATCGGCAGTTGAGGATGCTAGGTAAAGTGTAATAATCCCTACTTTTGATCACTGATAGACAGTTATAGACAGAAAAAACGTTATTACAACTAAGCAATTAAAAAGCAATATAAATGAATTTGACAAGTTTTCAATGGAACTTTGAAAAGAAAATAGATTTAGATGTCCCAGTCTAAAAATTACTTCCGGAAACTTTATCATGAATTATATGTGAAGCCGATACTATGAAGAACTCATAAAACATAAGTCTCTATTTTGCTCAAGTAATAAGGCCTTCAACACAGTGAACTGATGGAAATATATTGAAAACAATATGGTCTGTATTTTAGGGGTTACAACTAAACCCAAAAAATCCTCTGGTTTCTGTAGTTGTAAAAGAACAGTGAGAATTGCATCGACAATATGAAAAGCACTCCCTACTGATCCTAAATTCATTATAGTTGATGTCCTCTATGTAAACTACACACGTATGCTTAAATCGTATAATTAGAGCCATCCCCATTTATGGACTGAAATTTTTAAAAGCAATTGAGTGGTATAGTTTAGGTTATTAAATTAGTGTACTTTTCTACCGAGACAATGATAAAAATCCTAGTTGTTATTGTTAGAATGTATAAGCAGGTTTCCAAAAGCACTAGTTCAGCGACATATGATACTTCACTTATCAAACAAACATACAAGATATCAAAATTGAAAGCACGATTAACAGGTATTAATGTACTCAAAAATAGCACTGAAAATCAATCAAGTCAAGACACGAAATATGACACAAGTAGAAAAGGAATAAATAAAGAAAGAAGATGTAAAAATAAAAAAGTGAGATATCTTAATAACAACAAAATAAATTCAAAAAGTCAAGTTACTAAATAGTAATATAATTTCCGAGATGATAATAATCGATGGTTAGAGACCTTGAATGACATAGCTCAAAATCGTTCGCAATGGCGCCGGTGCATTTATTCTTTGTGTTCTCTCAAATCCTAATCTTCTGGATTCTTCAACACCTCTAGTTTCGACTCTCTAAACTTTTCTCACTGAATCATACTTCTTGAATAGTATCTTCTAATCTTAACCTATCCGATTACTTCTAATTCCCTTACTACCTCTACTACTATTGGATTTGAATTGACAATTACTTCTCTGTGCTGATGTGGTATGTCGACATGAACTGATGTACTTACGTACGAAGTTCTACGTTGCATCTGACTGACTGAATATAATTTCCAAGATTAAGATGAACAAAGTTATTTCATTCTATTCAATTTGAAGAGATAATCCCTTACCAATCTGTAAATACTGATTTTAAACTTCTTAAGATCTAAGCTTACTAGCTCATGTTAATGACTAGTAAGTCTCTTGATTAGAATCATGCTGTGCTCTGCTCCTTTTCAACATTTGTTGCCTCAAATGTAGTCACATTCCAGCCTAGAATTAGCCCATGTTGCCATACTACATTAGAAAGTAATATAATCAACAAGATCTGTAGTAAAAACAGGTCAAAATAATGATAGTATTGATGATAGTGAGAAAGAATGAACAACGGGAAAATAATCCGAAAAGAAAGTGTTGGAATATCAGGATTTATTTTCAAGAAGAAAATTAAAAATGAATGGACTTACATCATAGTAACCGGTTCGGAACTATTTCATCTAAAGTTTCCGAGCACTAAATGAGTGGAACTCAATCAGGTAAACAGATAATATTTAGCTACTATGTTTCGGTTTCATAAGTTATCGGAGAAATGGTAAATGTTAATTGATCGGTAGTGATTGACACAATTTTTCAACTTCTATATTTGAGTATAAGAATTATAAACAAAGTTTGTTTGCAGAGTTTTAGATAATGGTGCTTCAATAAGATAGACATGCTTTACTAGGCCTCCAAAACAGAAGTATTACCGTGTTATTCAAACCACTGGCCACGAGAATACATCAGCAGCTAAATATTTCCTGGACAGTTATTACTAATGGATTGTTTATTAATGCTTAAATTAGTCGTCTCATCTAACTTCACCAACACTTATTAACACCCTCATATAGTGAACATGAAATTTATCAAGAAGAGTTTCATTCTAGTTAATTGAAATAGGCAGTATTCCATTAGTGAATAACCTCACCGTTAAAAATCTACCACATTCGTTTAGCTTGCAACCTAGCGTATAAAAGTGTTGAAAGAATATATATATTAGGTCAATTTTGAGGAGAAAATATGTCATTATTAATACTTGAGGTTAACCATAAAATAAAATCTATATTCGGTTGCTGGGAACAAAGCTTAGTGAACTAAAGACCAAGTCTACTAGCATACTCCGACTTTAGGCATGGTAAAACTCAGTCACTAAATACCGATTGGTGTTTTAAGTAAGTATCAATTTCGCAAGCGTGAAATGCAATTAAAGTTATGAACAGACGAACCCCGGCCTCCAAGCCTTTGGTAAATTTTGCCAGTCTTGATAAAATCAACAGAACTTTAGATGAGCGCGGCAAAGAACATAAATTTTCTGCATGTCGAAGTTTTTTCTCGAAAGTCTACCTCAAGGAAACAATGAGAGCAAATACTTGTCCAGGGAGGAATGATTAACGGAAAAAACTAAATAATCAAGTGGGATGGTGGAAAAACACAATACGCTTATCTCAAGAAGAGCCACAAAGATATATTTAAACAAAATATATTTCACAAACAGGACAAAAAGCATGTTCCGCTCATATTAAACTTCATATACAGTAACAAGATACCACAACATGGAAAATATAAAAATCATGAGCTTAAGATATTTGAACTGTTTGCATTCCAACCTGTTTCTCGAATAATCGAAGGTCACGACTTCCGATGTATTAAACTAACCCACAACACTTGACCTTAAGGTAACGTAAAAATCAACGCACCCGCGACACTTTCAATATCCAATATTTTTCACGAGCTGGTGTAAACCAATTGATTTCTTTGAGCTCGATTCTTGTTCCTTCGGTTCGGTTCCAGGTGCTCGGTAATGTCCAATGGATGAAGGTCTAGCCACTCGACTGTCTAATTCTAGTCAGTTGGAAGTTGGTTGTGAGTTTGTATGTCTTGGGATTTGAATGAAAACGTTTATTTCAGGGCAGTAAGGTTTCTGGATACCAGCAGCTGTCACATTACCAAACCGGAGATCAGTTAGTTGCAATGTGGAAAGTAATAAGGGTTAAAAGGATGAAATTGTAATGATAATATGTATAAAATTTCAGAACTGAGTAATATATGGATGAATTTAGTTGGTTGATTGGTAGTGAAGATTGTGAGGGAGGACCGTAGTGTAGTAGTCCACTGAGGGGGACATGGTCACCTCAGCTGGGAGAGCATTCCAAGTTGCGAAGTCCACTTATGGATATGTTTTACATTAGTACACTATGGATCTGACGAAAATCCTGCCAACTGGACGCCTGGAGGAATGAGAAATGAGTTAGATTTAAAAATTTGGATTGGTAGTCTTTCATTCTTGGGAAACAGTGAGTTCAGTTAGTTGTAAAAAATAAAAGAGCCCACATTATTAACAAAGACATCATAAGTGATAACCTTATTTCCGGTTCTTTTATATCACTGGAACTGCACCAAGCTGATCAAAGCAGTGATAAGGCCTGAAAGATATTTTGTCTATGTAATTTGTCATGTATCCCCGTCACCATAACTGACTGATGGTCGACGAAATCAATGCGGTCAGGCGTAATGAATTAGTTTCGGCGCAAAACGAATTTTACGGAGAAGCTATGCTAGTGCTTCAAAATAAATACGTAGGTATCATAAGCATACATGAATTACGTAAACTGTTCCTATTCTAATCGAAGGGTTACTTTGTGAAGGACGACTAAACTACCCTAACTATCCACTTTTACCACGGATTCCTGTGATTTTAACAAGTCATCAGTCTGTCAGAGCGATGCTCATTTGACACAATCACAAACTAGATGGCCGCCCTGACGCTTAAAAGCATTAGTCACCGTACTCAGGAATCATGGGAATTTTAAGAGAGCTGGTGTAGTTAGACGGGCGGTCGATAAAGTTACGAAATGCAGATGCATGAAAGCCGAATTCGTTCACAAGATGATGGCTCCTCTCTTTCTGATTAGTGGGTTCAACAAGGTTGGTTCTATACCTCCTCTATGAGGTTTGGCTGTTTTGGGTCGCTGATGATTCGTTGGGGAAGAAGTGTGGAAAAGAGGGATGGATGTATAACTATGTGTCTTGAAATGCGTGCCATAAGTCTAAAAGTAGCTCTTGCTTTAAAAATTGACGCTGTCATGATGGTTTTACTACGATTTACAGGAAGAAGATGGACTTCAAAAGCAATCTACGGGGACAATGGAACTTTGATCGGTTAACTTCCGAATCGCAAAGTAGCTTATCGGTATGGGATAAAAGTAAGATACATAATTCCAAAACCTCCCCAACTGCTACCCACTGAGGTGAAGTTTTGGTAAGAAGATAAGATTCCTCTCCTTGTCACTGGTTTATCTGGTGCATCAAAGTGGAACTTGAATACGTCTTGTTCGACATCCCATTCTATACCAAGCGTTCGATAAGTGACGGTACAATCCGCTGATATTCCTAGCAATGATTCCTTGGCACCTTTGTCCGGTAATATAGACCTCACTTCTTCTGAGTTGGTAACCCACTTTTTTAAGTTAAATCCACCTCTACGTAGCAACTCGTTTATCTGCATGACAAATCTCTTCGCTTGGTCACAACTCGAAAAAGATATCAGGCAGTCATCAACGTAAAAGTTATTCTTAACCGCATCAATAACATACTGCTCATAATCACTCGAGAAGCTTAGGGCTGTTTTATTCATAGCAAAGTTCGCACAAAACGGGGATGACGTAGCTCCAAATGGATGAGAGGTCATTTGAAATTCAGAAGGCTCTTTAGATGTGTTCCCACCTTCCCACCATAGATATCTTAACGCTCCCCGGTCACCTTCGGGTACCTTTACTTGCATAAACATTTCTTCAACATCTGCCGATACTGCTACTGCTTCCTTGCGAAAACGTAATAGTATGTTTACCAGATCAGCGGTGCTGTCCGGCCCTTGATGGATCATATCATTTAAAGAGGTTCCAGCAAATTTAGCAGCACAGTCCAGGACCACTCTCAGCTTGTCTGGTGTTTTGGGGTTCAACACGGGATGATGGGGTTAATACCACCGAGGACGATAGTCCGACCTTGGGTGCAACTCAGGTACCCTTTGCGCATAGCCTTTAGAGACATTATCTTCCATACATTTGGCGTACCTGTCACGTAACCTATCGTCTCTCATCAATCTTCGCTTTAAACTCTGTAATTTACTATAAGCTACCTCATAGTAAGTCCCTTTCGTGGAGGGGTCCTGTTTCCATGGAATTGGGACTACCAAATGGCCATCAACGTAGTGAGTACCTCTCTCCACTATCTCTAAAGCTACCTGGTCTTCTACAGACACTGACTTGTCACTGGAATAGACATCAGCAAATTCCACATCATACAGTTTACGTATCTGGTCCTCCAAAACTTGCACGCTACTAATATGGTTAACAACTCTTTTTCTATATTCCGGGTATGATTTAGGTCCAAACACAGTCCATCCAAGTAGTGTCTTTACCGCATACGGCGCTTTCCTCCCACCTAGACGTTGCTCTAACACCCAATGTGCTTCTGGCACGTCACACCCGATGAGCATCAAAACGTCTTCAGATTCTAAACCTTCTATCGGTACATCCTTCAAGTGCGGCCATTTAGTTAGATTTTTCATTGCTAACATGGTGGGCTTATGCCTCGATAGGCTAGGTACGATCATCGCTCCTTCAATCACGATGTGTTCCAACTGATCTAAAGAATGCACTTCAAAGGTGGCCTTCGTACATGCTGCTGTTTTGTCACCACCCACAGTTTGTACCACAACTAACTCACAGTTTTCCGGCAACCCAAGCACCTTTGCACAAGTTGACGTTATCAACGTAGAATCAGAGCCGTTATCTAAAAGAGCATATCCTATTATCTCGGCTGTTTCCGATTTCACACGTACTGGGATCAATCCTAAGCATACCTATCTGCTCAGTGACCTAGTGAGTCCGCAACAATGCTGGGATTCACGTTTATCATCCAACGTTTTGATGGTCGAGTCTTCGTGCAACAAAACATGATGTTTTTTCTCACACTTGTCGATACCACAACGCATTGTCGATTTACAGTCACTGGCCTTATGCCTTTGCTTCAGACAGGTGAAACACATCCCCTTTTTTCTAATCTGATTCCATCTATCTTGAACAGTAAGCTCTAAAAACTGAGGGCATTTAGTAACCAAGTGATCACCAGTACAAATGCTACAGTTATATCTTATATTCGGTATGGTTGCTGGTTTCGATTGAAGGTGACAGTTCATTTTTACATCTCTTCCTATTTTTGGCCGATTAGCCAGCCGACCGAATCTACTATCAGCTATTCTTGCTCGAGATAATATAAACTCAGTAAGTTCAGTAAAGGTAGGCTCTCTATCTTCTTCAATCCATTTTACCGCTAATTCAGCCCATTGAGTTTGCATAGACCGGGGCAGATTTCTAACTATTCGCTCCAAAGAACCCAGAGAATTAAGTTCGGTTGTACAATTTAACTGTTCTAAGGTTAGAGCAGCATTCTGCATTTTAATCGCCAAATTCGTCAATTGTTCAGGATCATTATAATCTGCATTCCCGGTTCTAAACAAGTCCTCCAAGGTTTCACGGGCTATTACATGCGACTGCCCAAAGAGCTGTTTTAAAATAGCCTAAGCTCTCTTATATCCCACTTGTGGATCCATTATAAGACAACCTTCAATCGCATTTCTTGCTTTTCCTTTACAGTAGTGAATTAAATATAATAAACGCAAATTATCGTCCTTTACTCTAGGTTCTATAAACGATCCAATCTGTTTAATGAATCTAAAGTAGTCGCGAGGTTTGCCTTCAAAGAATGAAAGTTCAACCTTAGGTAGTTCTAAGCCTAAGTCCTAAGCTTCTGATCCTTCTCTGGTACCTTAGAATTCTCACTTAAACTTTGTTCCTTAATGCTTTCTAAGGGTGACTTACAATAATAAGTATCAAACATAACATCATCACGAATACAGTGGGGACCCATTAAAAAAGAATCATCAACGACTTGCCTAGCATTTCAGGATTCTTCAAGCTCTTCCACCCTCTTCGCATTTGTTTTCTTGCGGTTGCTCATTTTTAAGTGAAGTTCAACGGAAGATAAATAACAAATACAAAATATAGGAATTCCACAGGTAAGTTTTCAATAAGAAATATCCAAAATCAGAAAATCGTTTTCCAAAATACAGTTCGATCACAAAAAATACGATAAGTAATCCAAAGTTCTTCTCTCAAGAAGTTTAATATTATAAACGATTAAAATTCCAAATGTTTCTTTATTCTCCTTAATAATCAGACTGTAGTAGGCTTATTCTCCAAATTTGTTAGACTGTAATTGGATTTTCTACCGTAGCAGTTCAATTCGATTCCAATAGACGTATGTTGGACGCACTCTCCGATTTAGAATATCAAAACACAATAATTCTAGTAGAAAGTGGTCTATTTATTGAGAATAAATGGAAATACAAACGTTACCTAACGAATTTTACGTCTTCCAATTCAGAATAACTCTGAATGAGTATCCAGGTTCCGGAGACTAGGTGAACTCGTATACCGCACGATATCAAATCCAGAAAATGTGGCTGTAGCCATATTATATCAAATTTAAACAACATATGTACAGTTCAGAAGCAAACATAAAAACTTCAATATAAGTACAAAATATAGAAATAATAACAATATACAATGATAAAATCTCAAATTGGAATCAAATAAAATACCAAAATATCAACAGAAAGAGTCCGTCATGTCATAGCAAAAATATAT